CAGGCTTCCACCATCTCGCCGCCCGCCCGTTCGCCGTCCTCTGTCAGACTCCCATCTCCGCTGGTTGGTGTCGCCGGTCGCTGCGAGCTCCCGCCGCCCCCATCGGCCTTCCTCCATCGTTCAAGACGTCAGCTCTCCTCTGTTAAGCGGCGCCGGAGGATGTTTCGACAACGTGGAACACGCCGGAACTCTGGCAGCGTACGGCCGCGCCGGGCGGCGGCTTTGGAGGCGGTATGGCGGCGGCGGTTTGCCGTGTGCAGGCACTTGCGAGGTCTTGCTCCGGCGGATCTATTGGTGGTGGCCGCCGTGTGTGGTGCGAGTGTGTGTGTGTGTGTGTGCAGATTTGAAATCTGGAAATCTGATCGTGAGGAAGAAAAAAGTTTATGAAAGAGAAAAGGGTGTTAATAGGTGTGTAGGTCCCACATAATATAATATATGTGTATTGACCAACTTATCCTTAATTATTAGTCAATTGCACATATTTGACCACACATGATCAAATAATTACTAGATTTCCATTAATGATTTACCATAGTTTGACTTTATCATCACCATTGATATGGTTGATCCCATGGTCTAGGTTCATTCTCATTTCTTTCACTATCTTCCATTCTCATATGATCCCTTCTCTATACTATATACTATATACTATATATTATATACTATATGTTATATACTATGTTATATACTATATAAAATATATTGTATACTATATAATATATATTCTATATACTATATACTATATAATATATACTATATGTTAAATTATAATATTTATGTATATACAATATATTAAAAATACTATATACTATAAAAATTTTGATGTTGAAGGATAAGAATAAAATTTGCGCAAAACTAAACGCGATAGCCTAGCGGCCTAATGGTAACGAGGTGCACCTAGAGATAATGGACACACTCAAACCCGGGTTCGAGTCCCGAATCTGGGATCCTCTGGCCATTTTTTTACATATATAAAACGGATTCAACGAATCCGTTTTTCGAATAATTAAACATAAAACGGATTCGTCGAATCCGTTTTTCAAATAAATATAACAAAATAAAATTCCTTCTTCTTGCCCTACGCGGGATTGAGTTATGGATTGAAATATGTTGATGGATTGTTAGATTATATATGTTTGGTGATAAATTCATTGGTTATTTGGAAATTGATTAGGGTTTTGTAGTTTGTTTGGAAATATATGATTTGAACGTGTTCGATAAAATGCCTCAAAGGGATTGTTGTACATATTGTTGACATATTGTGAATTTGTGATGATTGTGACGAGGTGAATTTAGTTGTGAATTTATATAATATGTTTAGGGATTATTTTGTCGGAAGTTGAATTGTTGGAGTCGAATTGTCGATAAAGATTATTTTCGAATAATTGTGTATAATATTTTTAAATTTGTGCATTTGTTTTGTTTGTTTCATTTATTTCCGTTTTTGTGATTTTTTTTTCTGAATATGATTGTATTATTGTAATTTGATTAATTATTATTTTTTTTGTAGTATGTAGTATATAATGATTGTTTTTCTTTTTTGGCAGAAAATGGCATCTTCGTCGTCCTCACAACCGCAACGCTTCAATGTACATCTGGTCCGAGGGATCCGTCCGTTCTATATCTTCAGTACTGCCATCGGTCGAGTGCAATATTTGAAGATATAGACGGATGTCGTGACGGCGTCATTAAACCCCGCCGTTTTAACACTAAGTTCTTGAAGGCGTTGGATCACCAGCATCCCAGAGTTTGGGATGCCATCGAGAGGACGGGTTTTGGCCCGTTGTTTCGAATGGGCAGAGTTATGACCGACAACGGCCTCGTCACGTGTCTGGTGGAAAGGTGGCGACCGGAGACGCATACCTTCCACTTTGACTTCGGGGAGGCCACCATCAAGCTGCAGGACGTACAAGTCCTTTTTAATCTCCCGATCGATGGAGAGCCTTGTTGGGGAGCGACTCAAGATAACACACCCCTTAAATGGCAAGAAATTTGTTATGATGAGCTAGGGTTCGAGCCCTATGTTCAGGTAAACTTTTTCTTACAATTTTATTTTTTTTTAATTTATTTATGTTTACTCCATTCATTAATTTTTAATACATATAAACCACTCTCAGAAGGCCGACAAACCGGTTCAAGACCCCAAGACTTGGGCCATTACAGGCCAGTATTTGAAGGCCTATGCGTTAGAAGACAAGTGCAACAGAGAGCTAGCCGATGGAGAGCATTGCTTCACCTACGAGGCGAGGGCGAAGGCCCTTATACTCTGGTGCATCGGTTCCTTCTTCTTCCCCGACCAGAGGGGCAATGGAGTGAACCTATACTGGTTGCAGCTTATGCACGACATCGATACGAACAAGACGTACAGCTGGGGTTCGGCGGTCCTGACCGAAGTGTATAGAGCGCTCTGCACGAGCGCCAAGTCTGGGAAAAACTAGATCAAGAACTGTGTCCAACTGATTCAGGTAAATTTATTTGCTTGTTATTTCAAAATTCATTTTTTTTTCTAATTTAGACTAATATCTAATAACAAATGAATATTTCGATATGTGTAGGTTTGGGCATATGAACGTATCCCTCGTATTCGCCCAAGAATGAGGGATACGAACTTTGAGAGAGTCCCTGGTTGTCCCTTAGGTAGAAGGTAATAAAGTTTATTTGTATTTAATATTTACATTATTTCCACTATCAAATTTTGTGATTACAAATTTTTTTCTTTTACTGTGATTTTTAAGGTGGGTGGGAAAGAGGAGCACAACACACCTGGGCAAGGAAAAAACCACCACCCGAGATCAATTGACAGGGCTCACAGAGACGGATGTAAGATTATTATTATTATTATTTGTTTGTTTTAATTTTCATATAAATTAATTCCTAATTTTTTTATTTTTTTTTTTTATTTTTCAGTTCGATTGGCTACCCTATCAGTGGCACCTGCAAGGGAATGCTCTCCCGGCCCAGTGTACAGAAGGTTCACACCTCTGAATGTATAGGGGGTGGATCTTCAACTGGAACGTCCGTGAAGTCCACATGCCTGATAGGGTCCTCCGTCAATTCGGGTGTGGGCAGTCCACCCCCGAACCTCCTATCATTCCGACTGAGACCGAATATCAGCTACACCACCGAGGCCAAGGGATGACTGGGAGGCCAGTTTTTGATTGGGTCGCCTCTCACGGAGAGTTTGGGAATGCTTGGGTCTAACATAGAAACGAAAATGTCGTCCCCGCCATCGCTGTGGGGCCATTCATTGAGCCTGTGGCGGGTTACCTTGATTGGTTTCACAATATCACTGTGAGACTACTCGGTGATCCTGCCAAGTACGCGGTGGCCCAACCGGACAGAGGCTTTCATCCACTTGCCGAGCAGGGGAAGTGCGATGTAAGTAATATATATTTCTGTTTTTTATTCTCTTATTATTTATTTATTTATTTATTTTTTTTGTGTGTGTTTCATTCTAATTGACTTTGAATTTAATTTTCAGGCTACCGCCATGGAGGGAGCTTATCACACGTTAGCGAATGTTGACCACCTATTTCATACAGTCCCTCCAAGGATGCAGGCCGCAATCCTACAGGCCAAGAATTTTCTCTACAGTTCTATGACTGTCGGAGGCGGAGAGGTCGCACAAGGGCCGTCGTCGAGCCAAGTTCTAACGGAGGAGAGCTACGTCCGATCCCAGATGACGCAATCACACCGGGCGAGGCATCAACCTGCTGCCAACATTGGTGGAGGTAGAAGACGACGCGACCGCCAACCCGCTGCCGACACCGGACCTCAGGAAGAGGAAGAAGGTGAAAATTTTTAACTTAACAAAAAAATAATTTTATTTATTTTATTTATTTATTTATTGTGATATTTAAAAAAATGATTTACTCAGATGAAGAAGAAAAAGAAGAAGAAGAACCTGTCACGCCCACACCATCGTCTTCTTCACAGCGACCACAACGTCGGATCAGCCAGCGACAGCGCAATCCTACGAATCGATATACACCTAATTAGTTTGTATTGTATTCATGGAATTTTGTGAACATATTTGTTAATTTTTTTATTTTTTTTTTTCATTCTGTATACTGATATTTGTGTTTTGAATAAATTATTGTGGTTGACTTTTTGTATATAGTGTATGTTCGATTATTTTTGGCGAATTGATTCATATTAGTTGCTTGAACAAGTTGTGATTTGTTGAACAGGTTGTGAAATCAATCCAAAAAAATATTTTGTATTTTTCTGCAGAGAAAAACGTATTCTAGGAATACGTGTTATGAAGAATTAGGGCAAAATTAGGTAAAAATCAATTTTTGGGGGAAAAATTGATTTTACACATAAAACGTATTTGAAAAATACGTTTTATATTTCCGAAATTTATTTTCTGCAGAAAATTTATTTTTAATAATTTTAAAATTGATTTTATTTAAAAAACGTATACAAATAATCCGTTTTATAATTAAAAAATTAATTTTAATTATAAAATGTATTGAAAACGTTTTTAATTAATTTAATTAACTTAATTACATTAATTATGTTAATAAATTATTTTTTAGAAAAACGAATTTATTGAATACGTATTACTAAGAAAAACGAATTTATCAAATACGTTTTTCAAGAAAAAACGTATTCTATAAATACGTTCTTTTTTATTTTTTTCCACTCCTCTTTTCTTTTTTGTCCAGTTATTTTTTTTATTTTTAAATAAATAAATAATTCTTGTGCATGAGGTGATCTAACTGATAGATGGATAAACCTATTATATTATTTAATAAAAGTAAATACTTGTGTTATGAAATATCATATTTTTATCGATGTAACTTTTTAGAGTACGAAATTTATTGTCTAACCATTGGTTTGGCTAATGGCAATGTTATTGAACTTTTTATTATTATAAAATGCGGATTAGATTTTTACGGCTTCATTCAAATGCAATAGTTATGCTGCATGAATCTATGTGTTACATAAGTAGATAATGACAAAAAGGATTAAGCTATTTTAATCATTGTGTCAATCATTATGTTACTATAGGCATCAATGATTTGTGGTGTTCTATACTATTGCGTGCATTTTGGTTGAAGGTAGTTGATTATTGACACGTTTGAACTTTTTCCTTTCAATTTTTCCTCCCAAAATCTAGCAACTAAGTGACTTATTAATTTTAATAACCTAATTTTATTAAAAATCAACCTCACAATGATATCAAGTTATTGTCACAATCCAAGATTATACAAATTTCATGCGCTCCAAACGCATGGAACAATATAGTAATAATTATCACTCACCAACCAAACTACATGTATCTATCAGCCTGCGCAGCTTTCTCATAGTTGTTTCCTGCCCTAACATCAAGAATAAAATATTTTAAGTTCTGGAAAAGGAAAATAAAGAAAAAATAAAAATAAAGGTTTACCTATCTTAACACTAATATTCATCAATCACAACATAACCGTAATTGTTCTAGTGACAATACAACTGATTAAAAATTTGGAAGACTTACCTGATATCTCTGCTGCTGAAAAGAACAAGAGAAACGGGATCTTGAGATGAGAGACGGAAAAGCTGTAGGACAATGTAGACGCATGTACTAACGCTGAAAAACAATAAGAAACATTGTTTAACAAGGAAACACAAAAGCAAATTACAATAAAATTTAAAGAATGATAGCGATTATAGGTGACGATATTATGTTTTTTCGAAAACATGAACATATGTCTTTCAATGTGTTTTCCTCGGACACATTAGGGGATAGTGAGGATAATCTATATATGCGAACCTCACTATTCTTTAAATCGAATAATAATGAAGTGTTTTTTTGTAATTAAGCTTTAAAAGCAGGGGTAGCTTAGTCCACTATATTAGTTTACTTTACCTCCCAAAGCAGATCAACAAAAGAATCCAAAATGCTGCAGTTAACCAATTAGGTTCCTTATATGCCACCCAAACCTGATAGCAGACCCAAAAAACAGTGGTGAGTCGAGATTTGTTACATGCACATTGCATGATATAGAAAATGTATCTGCATACTGAAGAATTGGGCGGAGAGTATTACCGATAAAGCAATAACATTAACATAAAAATCAATCAATGTTGCTGTCAACCACCTGCGCACAAAGTGAACTTCTAATGAAATTGAATAAATATAAGTACTAGTATACTGTAAATTGGAAGAGCTAACTGCAAAAATGACAGCCGAACATTTTATTTTCTCACAATATTGTTATCTAGCTTTTATATATTTGCAAGTTTACTCTGAACTACAAAAAATAGTTTTTGTCATTTAAAGTCTTTAAAGACATTTAAACTTAAAGAAAAAGTGAAAGTTAGAGTGTTTAATTGCACAAGAAAACAATTTGTAGCAATACGATCAGATCTGAACAAGCTTCAGCGATTACTGAAAAAATACAGTAAGTTAGAGTCTTTGATATTTTATAAAAATATGTCTGGGGAGAATGGGGAAGAAGAGGCTTCAATTTCCATGTATCTATACAACACCAAATAACCAACACCTGGTATATGTCTTAACTAACACAGTGTTGAGAAAATTGGGGAAAAAACAAAAGCAGAAACTTACGGAGTTAAAAGATCTTTTCGAAAAGGAGATCCATCAGTGGCAATTGTGTAAACCAATGTGCCAAGCATAAGACAACCCAAGAAACTGAAAAGAACCCGTGCACTTGCAACTGATACAATTCTCCCTGATTCTGCTTCATCCCTAAAAGTCAATAAAAATCTTCACAAAATAATAATAAAAAGTAAAGGAGGTGACAAACGGGAGAGCTGAAACTAGTAAAATAAAATAATGGGGGTGATTTTAGTGGGGTCCGATATATGTAGTAACAACTGATGAACACGTATGTCATGCAAACAAAGCGCTAAAATAGTGAAGTCGTTAATGCCATTAAACTCTAATGTACCATTTTAATTTTTTCCATCATTAAAAACAAATGGACCAGGAAAATCTAATCAATGCCCAGTTTTCTCAGTTACGAAGGCGATGCATTCTGTAATGCTGACTATAAGTATGTTTAAAGAAAACATACATTATACAAAAACTAAAATGATCACTAATGATAATAATGTATGGACTGAAGTATTGTTGTCACTTACTTTTTCTTATTCTTAAGCACAAAATAAATAGGATCTTGTATTGATTCTTGAGAAGACAGCTTTAGGAACTGCACAACAATATACAGACATGTGGTAATGCTGCAAAAAAAAAAGAAAAAATAATTACCACTGTGCACAATGTAACGCCTCTAAACTTCAGTTTTGTACATTTACAAACGAGGATTATGTGTCTCTCACAGAAATATTTCTTGATATAATAACTGATCTGAAACATATCAAACAAACAAAAAAGATAAGTATTGAAAACAAGAATAAAGAGGAAAGGGGCAATGAGAGATAAATCAAGATTGTAGATAAGGCATGTGAGATATAAAACAACTGTGTTTCCATAATACAACAACGAGACAGTTAGAGAACTCAGTGGAATTTAAATGAATAAGATCCATTGTACCTTCCTAAACATACAAGCAAAACTATCCAAATCAGTGCCCGAATCCAGCTTGATTCCTTATACACAATCCATGCCTGATATTGCAGGAATATCCTAATTTCAAAGTGAATTCTTAAATAATGAATTTCAAAGAGCAGTACTAGAGCAAAGAACACTGCATACCCCTATTGCCAGAATATTGATATAGAAGTCGACCAGAGTTGCTGCCATCCACCTGTATCAAAAGTTGACAAAAATATAATTCCGTATCATGATGAAAGCCTACAATCACTCATTTACCCATGTTTGTATAAGTATAAACCACTCGAGATTAGCTTTATCAGTTACATCCATACAAACATATTGTTTGGTCTACTATAAGTTGAATTCGTGATTGTAAAAGAAGCCACAGTTGAGCACCATAAGGTGTTAGATCTTGGAGAGGAACTTTCAGTTGTTGTTACAGCTCAAATCCGCATAGGTTTTGCCTTGGTAACTTTTATTGATTCATTTCAATTTTTTCTCATGTGACTCAATTTTTCCAATTCAGATGCTCATGAAAGTTTTCTCTGAAGTCTTCTATTACCATATTTTTAACATCCGCATTCTCTGACAATTACCCATCAACAAGTTCGGTTTCAAACATATTTATTTAACCCATAATAAGTACATCTCTCAGACTAATTAGGATTAAAACTGAAAAAAGGAGACCCAATCTCATTTCATGAAACAAATGTCAGCTAGAATTCTTAACAAGGCTACAATTCCACCGTTTAACAACTAATCAAACATTCCAGTACAAATTTTGGTATAGACTAGAGAGAGAGAGAGAGAGAGAAGATACGGAGTGAGTAGTTCTTTGCGGAAAGGGAGTCCATCAGTGACAGTGGTGTAAATGACAGTGGCGGTGATGATACAGCCCAACACCACAAATGCTGTTCTCAGCCCAATCGCAACTGATGCAGCCATTGATTCGGATTTCTGTATATTAATGCACTTCTGATAATGAAACCGAAAAAATGAAAGGGGGAATTAATAGTTTCAACGCTGCGTTGCGTGCGGTTTTGGAAGCTATATGAGAACGGCATGAATCCACGTCGCACATCGGGCCAACCTTTCCTTTTGATTTCGTAGGGAGGGGCAGATATATGAGAAGGGCATGGAATAAATAACGGACTCTCTTATAAAACTAGAGAAAAAGAGAGAATAGAGAAAATGTATTCTCTTGGTTCGATTTTCATTATAACTGAATCTCTTATTTATAGGAAACTTCTAATGGCGTAACTCGTAATAATACAAATACATTGAAGGCAAAATAGTCATTCACATATATTATTTTATTATTTCATAACACTCCCCCTTGAATGACTATTTTCTAAACATATTTTAACTAATTTATACAAAGCCCATTTTGCATATCTTGAAGTGTATCTTGTCGCTATTAGATATCGTTGCTTCAGCATGTCAGGAAAACCCGGTGGGACAAAACCTGATCATTGTGAAATCATATCATTATTTCTTCAGGAAAACCCGGTGGGACAAAACCTGATCATTGTGGAAGCACAACATTGCTCCCCCTCAAATATATCATCTTTAATGGAGTATACATGTGCTGCCTCGTTAAAACCTTGTTAAGAAAACCCAGTGAAAAAAAACTTGATCGAAGGAAAAAGAGTACAGCTACTCCAGTCTCTTTTATCATCGTGACGAATCATATCATTTATCCAGTAGTCCTCATCATACCATGAATATGCCTCGTTAAAACCTTATTAGGAAAAACCCAGTGGGACAAAATCCTAATGAAGGAAAAAGAGTACACTATTCAGGTGAATACGTCATCCCTGTTGCCTCATTAAAAACCTTGCTGGGAAAATCCAATGGGACAAAACCTCAGCCAAGGGAAAAATAGTACAACGCGTATTCCATATATTTACCATAATTTACATGAGTATCATATAAATTTGTTCAGATTTTCAGATACTGATGGTATTCATGATAATATGTCATATCATGCTTTGTGCAACTTTTATTCTTAAACTCATTCTCATCATCAATTGATTTTAATGGTCTTACTGTCAATAGTTCCCAATATTCACATTTCAGCTGATTTCATCTTCGTCAATATCATTTATATAGCGTTATTCATTTGTTTGTGTCGACACTTATTCATTTCTATTATTCCCCGTCATATTGAGATATCTCATTATCAATTGATTTCATCAATAGTGTATATATGCCTCCTTTCATCACTTATTTGGAGGATTTTATTTTGCACAATATCAACGCTTCCAGCATATTATTCCACCATCATATCATATCATATATTTCACCATCATGAGTATCATACAATTTATAATTTGCACACTTTCAGTGTGATGCGTATATCATTCTCAAATTTCAATCATTGATTCTCCCCCTCATCTAAACAGATCCCTGATCTGTATTTTCAGTATTGAATTTCTTGAGGGGAATTCGTATAGTCTCCATTTTGTTCTCGATTTCAACATAAATTTGGAGGACTTTGAACTCATATCATTTGTAATGTGCACATTTTTCTTTCAAGAGTTCATCATATCAGCTGAGTATATTACTATCTTTCATATGACACTTATTTTCATTCTTTCATAATCATCTCGTGTCATTCTTTGATCATACCATCTCGTAACTTCAAGTTGCGTGTCATATACACATTCTTTGATCAAATCATCTCGTAACTTCAGGTTACGTGTCATATATCCATTATTTGATCAAATCATCTCGTAACTTCAGGTTACGTATCATACACATGTGGCTAACTAGTGGATCCATAATATCTAGTAGTACACATGGAGGGGTAGTGGGCCCATATATATCGTACCCCTTCCATACTCAAATTGATCAAATAGCGATTCACAAATATTTAGCTAGTAATAATTTTCACCAATCAAGAACAAAGCATCTCATATCACAAAACTCAGTTAATCATGCAACCATCATCATTTATATTAGTAATCATCACAATAATTCATTATGACACATTTATCACAAACATATCACATCATCTTTCGGATAAATGCATTTTAAGTGCAGATTCTGACACACAATCTTTAAATCCAGAATCGCATCACATGCGTATCATGCCTGCAGACATACAGACTTTTAAACTCTGTTTTAGAGTCGTATCGCATACACATCATTTCTATAAATTATCAGGTAATTCATTCAACCTTCCTTAACAAAGGTCCGAATTTACAAATGGATCTAGCACTCTCAAATATCCATAAATATTATCCATTTGTTCCAGTAAATATCATAAAAAGGATTAATCGATCTCGATTAGAAAGATTGAGGGTGCTAATGAATAATGGTATTCCAAATGATGTTCGATGGTTGATCGAAGCACAAGTTCGATTGTCTGGAGAGTTTCCAAATTCATATAAATATGTCAGGTATGGGTAAAAGTACTTCTGCAAAGAAACGAAGAGCAAAAAGATTAGGTGGATCCTTCAAATGCGCTCGATGGACTTGTGACACACGATGTAAATCTGTGGGGTACGTGTCCAAAAATCGAGAAGATAAAATAGCATTTATAAAGGATGGATTGAGTAAGGAGTCTGTGGATCACACGATTCAACAGATTCTTGAGACACATCCTAGTGGATATGTGCATCGTGAGCTTATGTCTTTATGGACTCAGTTCAAAAGTGAAGAAGAACGTTATAGTCTTGAAAATATTATTTTAGAAGATCAAATATGTAAAACTGGTCTTGTTAGTACGAAAAATCATACTAATACAGTTTAGTAGGTTGTACTATAATTTTAAAAATCCTTATAGCTGCCCACAGATAAGATTTATTTAAGACCCCATGCCTTATCTGTCGATTGCAATTGTTAGAAGAAAACAGTGCAAGTATTTGTCGTTTTGTAAAACTTCTCTTTAAATAGCGAGTCATTCATCATAATCATATATCTCACAAAATTTTTGAAAATTTAGTTTATCAATAAATAGATGGATATTTCAAAGTCTTCGCAAGGTAATAATTTTCTTCAACCGATCAAATCAATATGCGTTCTTGGTGGTTCTAAACTGGTAAGTTTTTCTCAAACTATTGATATTGTAAGTCAGTTAGTAAAAGAGTTGGGGAATCAAAAAACCAATTTGCTGTGTGGAGAGACTAGCAATACTTTCTTTGATTTTCTTTTAATGGCTGGATAATATTTTGAGATAGAAGTGAAAAGTATCATACCTTTTCGTAGAGCTTCAACAAGGGTCGTCAAGGATTCCACAAGCATGATGCTAACTCATTCTATTTATAAATGTATGATGGATATGGTGAACAATAGCGATGCTTTTATCATTCTTCCAGGTGGTTATGGAACGCTAATGACAATGTTCACCATTGCTTCTTGGGCAGAATTGAAACTTCATAACAAGCCCATAGGTCTATTCAATTTTAATAACTTTTTCCAGGGTTTGCTTGGATTTTTAGACATAGGAGTATATCAAACCTTTATATCTCCTTCAACAAGAGAAGTATTCAAATCTGCAGATACACCTGCTGATCTTATCAAAAAGCTTCAAGAAAGCTTGACTTTTCAAGATTCTGTGGAAACACAAGGAGTTAAGCGAAAAAGAGCTTTTGATCCTTTAGATCTCTCATTATGAACCCAGATATCATTCATGGGTGGCAGAGTTACGGAGTTTTATACTCTCAAGACGCACCCTTCTTTTATGGGTTTTATTATGTAATATCTTTCGCATTTTGTATTTATCGAGGATTTTTCCCCTTATCCATATTTCCATCATCTGAACCTTTACTTGTTTCTCAGTAATAATAATAACAATTTCGCTTTTCCACAAGATAAGTGTGTAGTACTTCATGACTACAATTACTGTCATATGTGCTTCTTCTGGAGCACTTCATTGTAATATCTATATGATCTCGAATCTCAGTGTGATTTCGTCATCTGACATAGTCCCTTAGACTCATATAATATATTGAGAAATTATTTTGTGTGATCACCCATAACTGGTAACTTTTGGTACCATTTTCTCATTCTGTTCAATCATCTAATGGTAGCTTCTGGTACCATTTCATCATTTTGTTTAATCATAACGTGGTAGCTTCCCATAGCAATATACCAGATATCATTTAATCATTAAGTAGTAACTTCTGGTACTACTTAATCATATTTGTTTCTCCATTAATAAATGTGGAAAATTTATCAATTGTTTTTCAGGATCAAGTTAGTCCATATAATGTCCGCTCACAATCAGGACTTTAGTCAACTTTCACATGGCCAGATATAAAGAATCATTTATTTCACTCATCGGCTATCGCATAATTTGTACTGTCCGTCGCCGGCGGTAGAGTCGCACTGGCCGGACCATGTATATATATATAGCCATTCATATTTTGTTGCCGGTGGCCTTGCCACCTGGCCATTCCATATCACCGGATATCATTAATATGTCGATCATTCCATTTAGCCGTTTGAATCTTTTACTGTATGTTGCCGGTGGCCACACCGCTCGGCCATTTCTCATGATCATTCATACTTCTTTATAATATTTTGATCAACATTTGACCAGTCGGCTACCATTAAATATTATTTGCCGGCAGAGCCGCACTGGCCGGTTCTCGTAGCCACACATACTTATTTTCATATCACATGGATCAATTCGTAAATATTCACATTTTTATTCAGGAGCTAGTTAATAACTAGTCAAAATAAATTATATCTATAATAGTTTCAAAATAAAACTTTTATAAAATTAAATATCTTGCAAATGGGAAAAGACTAACTTGAGCACTATGTATTTTCTTTCACGTAAACTGTATAAATTTATTAAGATGTCAATAATGACTGTAGTGATAAACATGTTTTCAGAATTTGAAATAAGCATTGAACAAAATGAACTGAGACACGTGTGTAATTTTTTTCCAGTCCAATATATGTAGGCCAAGTCAAGGTGTCCCAATTCCAAATGCATTAATGCATACATACCTGCTATTTTGTCGTGTACCTATTGCCGACAGCTATCCTTTCTCTTCATTTTTCTAGACCCATCCAACACATATCAAATTATCAATAATTTTTCTTTCACTATTTTCTTGTTTTCAAATGGTCTGTGCTCACAACCAGTTCTAAG